GCTCGGGGGTCCCCTCCGCGGCTGCGCTCAGCCCGCGGTAGCCGCGCATCTCAGCGGGACGGCGCAAAACCCGCCGCGTGGCTTTGTAACTCGTCTGCCGCTTCGTGACTGTCCCACCCAGGCCGAATGGTGCTGCACCGATAACAGTCTGCCGTGCGCTCAAGGAGGTAATTTTGTTTCGAATTGCTTCAACTCCTGGAAATAGCCGGAGCCGTATAATTGCTTTTGAATACTAGCAAGGGAAGTAGTAAAAGGTAAGGATAGCATGGACGTTAAATTGGGTCTAACATGAAGGACATCCCTAGTGCTAAGGGCTGTTGAAACTTTTTTGTTGCGATGCTGGTATTTGGAAAAAATCTAGTGATTGGTGGGGAAGCAATTTTGAATGATATAAATGTTAACATTAAAGGCTGCGGTCAAAATCAGGAACGTTTGGCAAGTAAAACTGTTGAAGATGTTCGCAACTGAAAGACTGCATTGGGGTAAGCAGAATGGAAGTGGGGGGGTTTACTGGGGCTGCTGAGAGAGGAAATGGGTTTCACTACGTTGTGTTGCAGAGTTTAGAAAGCGATAAACTTAATGGTTAGGATCAACAAGGTACTTTTCACAAACCTAAATCATTGCACCAGCTCACCTCAGTTTCCTTGGAAATGGAGCACATCCTCAGCATTAACTGGGCATTTGGGAGAAGGCCTTGGCACCAGCACAGAGATCGGGGGGCTGCGAGCTTGCTGTCACCTTCCATCACACAGGCCCTAGCAAAGTCCCAGGGCATTGCTGCACACAGCTCCTCTGGGGACTGGGGCAACATTTGTTAAAATAGGGCTGATAGTTAAAGATTAAAGAATCTGTAGGGGATATAGATATTACCTATCCATATTTACATTATTTATCATACTATTTCAATGGATGCATTGTGGTATTAACAGTGATGCTAACAGCTAAGCTTAACAATAATGCATTTGTCAAAAAATGTATTTTCGTATCTTTAAATGCAGGAAGACTGCTTTTCCTGTGCTCTTCATGCCCTTGGAAAAAATGGTAGACAGACTAAAACGCAGGGGTGAAGAACTTCAGAAAAGGAACTCGGGGGTATGTGTACTCTGCAAACTAGATGATTACCAGAAGTAATCTCGATGTGAGAAGCTTGGAACTCTTCTAAGGAGCAGAGTAAATAGCTAGATCTCTTCAGCTAACCTAGCTTGACCTTTTTTCTGTATTACTCAAAAGCATGCTGGAACACCATAGAAAGTAGAACAGTGAAAGAAGAAGAAAAAGCAGAGAAAAGATTTAATCAGAACCAAATGATCTGTAATCATTTAAATGTTCAGAGCCTGGAACAGAATCCAGGAATCACAAGTCTCAATTTGTTTTTTTTTTAAACTGTATCTTGTAAATATCTTGCAATGTATATATTTTATTTCTGGCTAGTGACTGGACCTCACAGTGGTTGAGAACATTGTACTACTCAGTAACTTTGTTACAGATGTTTTTGCTGAAGCTTTAAATTTGTGAGTCACATAGGGATAAATATGATTCCATATGATGGAATTTCTGGGTAGTTAATGATTTGCTTTTTTAGAAACTTAGGACATTACCTGAAAGTACTGTGAAAGACCATTATTTTTTGTAAGTCAAGAGTCACACTGATACTGCAATCTTAACTTATCCTTAAGTCTATGTGCACTTATCTATATAATTATAGAAACATATGTTTTATGGTAAGATCTATTCACCATGCAGCGCATGGGAAACGTCACACTCCTGGAATTAATCAAAGCTATGTAGTGAATGAAGCTATTGTGTGAAGGACCTATTTGTCCTCAGGTATGGAAGAGGGATGGCATATATTCAGTGAAAAAGAGGATTTTAAGAAGGAAAGAATCTTCTCAGAATTAAAATAGCTGAATTCTGCCCTGGAAGATTGGTTGTTGTTCAGAGACATAGTTGAGAATTTGCCCAGCTCTAATTTAGGCACTATAGAGCTTAACTAGTTCTCATCTATTCAGAGCAAGTAAGCTTATCTAGGGATTTTTATTTACCTAGGAGGATTTTAAAAATATTTATTCACTTACTGGTTTATTTATCAATACATTAGCAAGGCTATTCCATTCTCTATCCTAGAGGTCTGTGTGCTGCTGGACAGTTCACTTCTCGTAGTAGCATCTACTTGTATATTGCTCGTTTTCTGAATGGGCATCTTGAAATTGTGCAGTCTGATTTACAGAAGAGCTGAACTCTGCAACTGCAATTTAAGTCACTGGGAACTAGGCCCAGAAATATTTAAAATGTTTAATGCTCTAACAAATCAAGCCATTATATCTTAGTTTGATCCCTAAAATAAACAGATACTTTTTATCTGTTTACTCTTTCTGTCATTCAATTCTTAACCTTTATTCATAGATCTGTTACGAAGGTAAGCTCAGTAAACACTCAGATATTAGCGAAGGATGTCATAAAATAGCCCATGATTAAATTAAAATGTTATGTTTACAGTCAATGTAATTGCAACAAAAAGGATAAGAAGTTGATATTCAGTTCACAGGATGCAAAATGCTCACTAAGGTGATAAAAAGTCTTCCTACCACTTAAAAGTGAGTTTTGCAATCTCAGTATTAGTTCACTTTTTTTTTTTTTTTTTTTTTTTATCTGCAGTGTATAATGGTGAGTATTCAAAGCTTTACTGGAAAATTATTGTTGCTCTCAAAAATGTCTTAGACTGAGGTGACTTAAAACACTTGGTAAGGAACAGCAAAGTAGAGTTATGACATTCAAGCTTTCTGATGAAACACGACAGTTAAGGACATCAATTAAATGTCTGATGTATCTTTAAGGGCATACTCGAAAGCATGCTAAGCCATTGTAAGAGTAGATTCATGCAAGAGACATTCAAGTCCCCAGTGGTGGAGAGCAACTTTGCAGTTTCCATTGCACTGTAGAATTACCAAGTGAATTTTCTGCTGAGTTATACTGAGTCATGCATTGCAGCATTGCATTAGCCTTCGAGACTAAGGTCTCGAAGCTACAGAAGAATAGGTGAGGAAGCAGATAGTTTAGCTCCAGCCTCTGTGAGAAATTACTAAAATCATAGGTTGACTTAGCATAGTCACTGCAGTGCTGTTTTTCCTTTTTCTGTACTGCAGCGATGGTACCCGTATGGAGTCAGCACATCCTTCTGAGACTAGAATGACAATGCAAAGATACTAATAAAAATATATTCACTTGGAGGGATGGTTAGCTGGCATGGTTTGGTGGAGATGTGGAACAGGAGAGAAGTATTAATAATATGAGGTAATTTTACATGTATATCAATGAACATGTGAATAAGTCTGATAAAGAACAAAAATGGAAATCGCTTAGTCACAAAGAATGCAATTACAGAACGATAGGGGGAGCACTTTAATGAGCTGCTTAATTGTGAGAGGGATGAAGGCAAACAGCAAATAGCTATTCTCCAAGCAGCTGAACCATTTGTGGAAGAATTACGTTTTAAAGAGATTCAAGAGGCAATCAAAATACACCCAGTAAATAACAAAACACCAGGTGCTGATAATGTTTCTACTGAAATACTAAAACAAAAAGGGGAATCTTACTGAAAGATTTTGCAAATTCACTTGGCTGGTTTGGAAATCTGAAAACACTACCAAGGAATGCAACAAGACATATACTTGGCTTAAATACTTTAAATTAATCAATTGCTGGTAGAAAGATTTTTTTAATAAAGCTAGAGAAAACCTGTATCAGTATATCATAAGGTGATCCTCTGTTCACAGTGCAACAGCTTAAAATCCTTGCTTAAAAAAAAGTATTTCAATGGCGCAATAGTGACGCTGCTTGCTTGCTTGCTTGTCTTCCTTTTGAACCGCTTCAGAATCTCAAATCTCTGCCCAGCCCTCAGATCTTAAGGGTATACAGTATGTATTTTGTGGCTCTCAACAATACAAGTATTTGAAGGCCGTGTCATGTTCAGGAAGGTTGAATCAACTTGAAAGGGATATTAAGCATGTATCTAACACTAAGTATGATGCGTGTATTTGCTTTCCTGGATCGAGGCCTAAGTCTCTACCAAATTTTGACTACAGAAAACTTCAGGTTCTAGCGTTCATTCAGGGAAAAAAAGGTTACTAAAAAAACCTAACGGAGGAACACCTGACTTTATTTTCAGGCACATGATATTTTAAAATGTCTGAATAATTTAAAAGCTTAAAAAATGTTCCTCCACGAAAACCAGCTCTGAGCAATTGCAACTCGGAGGGTGAAATTCCAACAAAATGACAAGCAATGAGGTGTGGGAGATTATATATTAAAGTATACAGGGCCAAGCCTAATACAATTTTTAGAACAGTTCCAACCATAGCCCTTGCATGTATGTGCATAAAAGTGTGTAAACAATATAGGGGTGACTCTGGGTTGCATCAACAATTAAATGTGTAAAACCTGGAGGAATCAGGGCTCCCAAAGCAGAAGAATGAAAAATACTCTGCACTGTCCCCCTCATAAGCTTCTCAAATAAATTAACATTTGATTTAAAGGCTAAAGAGAGACTGATTAAATAACAGCAACATGTTTAATACAGAAAACTGTTTCTTTGGGGACAAAGAGACCTGGCTGAGAAGAGATCAGGAGTTACCTACGGCAGGCTGAACAGGAGATGCAAAGGGTATGTTAACAGACCTTGAGAAAGCAAGCTGTCTGGGAATAGTAACTTAAGGCAAGCATAATAGTGATGGGGCTTCTTTGTATTTGATGCTGTGCTTCATGTTAAATAAAACTGTATGATACAAAGCAGCTGGGAAAGTTGGTCAGTTTTCCCTCTGACAGGCAAGCAGGCTGCATCCAGTGACACTTCAGCTTCACTGAACTTCACCGTTCAAAAACAGTGTTGGCAATCTGAATGATGCCTGCTGCTGAAAAGTGGACACATGTGGATACATCTGCCCAGAAGGGCAGCCGCCTCATATCCATCTTACTCATCTCTATTCTCTAAGTACAATGCTTTAATGCTACCTCCGTCAAAAAACATTAGTCAAAGAAATATATAAAGTAGTCCAACATGCAAAAAAAGTGCTTAAAAATAGTCAGCAAAGGAACTAGAGATCACAGCTGGTATCCCTTACTACAATGAAACAAGATGGTGGATATTAATAATTCACAGATATTGTATTTG